AGAGAGAGAGAGAGAAGGGAAGGAAAAAAGAAAGAAAGAAGAAGAGTGAGCGGGGCCAGGCGGAGAGAAAGAAGAAAGAAGAAAGAAAAAAAGAGAGAAGGGAAGGAAAAAAAATATTATAGTTTTGGATTGATTTGACGATTATACCCTTGAATTTAACGGTTTTTTTGACAGAGGGACTATTTAAGAGTACCTGTATTAACGTTAGGGACCATTAATGATACAAAAAAACATTAGGGATGCAATGTGATAATTTCGCAAACGTCAGGGATGTTTTGTGATAATAAGCCAAGAATGAAATGAAGTCAGCCATCATCAATGAAGGCAATATTGCATTTTCCTTTTGTTTAAAACCTCCTGTATCCTTTCAATGAACAAACACAACAATATACAGAAAATTATTCCACACTTCTCCTATTTTCTAATAGACAGAGAAAGAGAGAGGAGAGAGGGGGATTCACAGAGAGATAGAGAAAGACCTCTACCTTCAGCCCTCGCCCAGCCCCCATCTCCCTCCAAACCCGACACCCATTCCCACCCCAACAATAGATCTAGCCCCATCTCTTCGTCCGGAAAATATATAACTCGTCCCCAACCCGCGCAACGCGCCCACCTTCCAAACCCGACACCAGCCAACCCGATGAGCCCCACACTAGATTCATCATCTTCGTCTTCGACGCCAAGTTCTTCGCGCGCTGCAACCCACAGATCCATCCCCAGGTCTATGAGAGAGAGGAGAGAGAGAAGTCTCCGTGCCCATGAATCAATTTTAAGATTTTGCTTTTTTTATTTGTCTTTAATATTTATTTTTAAAATGAATTAAGTTTTAATAATTTATTGACCAAATTGCCCCTTCACAATTAACAGAAGTTAAAAAAAAAAAAGACAGAAATTGAGAATTGTCCTTAAATTGCTTCAAATTAAAACTACAGGGACAAAATTGACAAAATTGAAATGATAGGGACCAAAATGGTAAAAGTGACAAACTACAGGGACTAAAAATGACATTTTGCCTTTAATAAATTCCGCGCTTAAGTTGCCAAACAATGGAATTGCCAATTTCTCCTATTAAATTCCGAGTTATTTTCCCTCATCCGAACAGATAGAATTCTCAAGAACAATCTTGCCAAGTTTACAAGGATGGCAGCATAGGTAGGTACAAGCTCCATAACCATGTTCTCGCAGGCTTGGGACCCAAACATTCTTATATTCTGAAAATTTGTTCACACCCAATAACGACAATGTTTAAGATTGTAGTAAATTAAAACCAATAAGTGGTATTTCTATTTCATAATATTCTGAAAATTTCAAATTTCGAAATTTTATTGGGGTTTCAAACTTAAACTAGTTGAAAAAATAAGATCTAATGAACAAAAAGACATAAACGAGTTGTTGCACGAAGAAAAAAAATAGCGTTTGACGCTAGTATATGATAGTTTCTTGAGGCTTTAGGATATTTCTATGTTCAAAACTTTGTTTCGTAAGTCCAAATCCAAACCCCCCTTCTCAAAATTACATTTCTTCTCTCTGTCTTTGTCTCCCAAACAGCAATAACGTTAACAATGATTTTCCACCTCTTCAAAGTCTCCATTCAAAGATGGTATCGTAATGGCCGTATTTTAATTCTCAAAATAAATAGATGGTAACGTTAACAATGATCAAAAGTTACCCTTCCTGGTTCATTAATTATCATGGTGGAGTCGCTTGTGCATATTATCATCTGTAGTTCTCAAAGCAAATGTTATTGCAATTCCTTTCAGAACACTGATATTAATAAGAGGCACATTTTAGAATTTTCTCAGCAAACTCAGCATGAGTTGCTTGGGGAAATAGCTCTCTCATCCAATAAAAGATTCAGATTATGCTCAAATAATTACAATTACTAAAACCTAACCAATGAAACTACAACAAGAAGTTGAGACATGACCTAGCTAAATCCCCATGTTCATGCATTTTGTTCATCGGTCTTGTCCATTTGAACACAACTCAATCTTGAAGCACCCAAACATATAAGGAATATGGCAGGCAAAAGGGAGGCTTTGAGAGGATTTTGATGATGCCGAATGAAGTGAACGTACTGAACTGTCGAGCAAATACACTGAGAGATGGCACCAAGTAATCCAAAAATGTCAAGAACATCACCAAATAGCCTTCGCTGGGGTCTTGGATAATAAAACCACCACAACGTCCTCCACCTCCTCAATTCAACTCTTTCCTTTTTACCCTTGTAAATGAGCTCCCAGATGGAAGTCAGTACAGCAGCAATAGCCAACATCACACCAAATAGTGCATACTGGGGATTCCTTGGGGAGGAAGCCTGATCAAAAGCAAGTGACAAAATCTCTAGGCACAGGGCAATGAGTAAAAAGATCCACTTTGCTGAAGTAGCCTACAAATAAATCAGTAATACAATGAACTAAAACTTAAAGATATCAAGCAAGAACAATGCAAAAGGAAATGTAGGTTAACTATGATTATGAGTTATGACTATTCGACAACCATTAGGCTTGAAAAACTTAAGCTGTCACGGTTAACTATGTATATCAAGCTGACACCTCCCTCACGTGCAGCCCCTTCGAACTAGAGCTTTAATATTAATACCATGTTTGAAAACACATAGGCTCCAAAAGCTAAGGAATGACCAAATGATAAGATTTTAAAAAATTTACAACATAATTCCAAAAATATAAACACTTGAAAATAACCACTTGTGAATGTTCTTTCAAATACTTTGAAATTCGATGACATAAAATAAAAGAAAAAAAAACTGTGTCGTATAGTTTATAAAAAGTTGAAGACATTTTACCTTAGTGCCCAATGTCTCATTCGGTACACGCAAATTTACCATAATGTCTTCAGTTCTATTTATTCCCTAGTATGAAAAAAAAAAATTGCATTAACAGAGCAAGTTATTTGTCAAATAATAGTGAAAGTGTTTCAAATAATTCTAGAACTATTTTCCTTTAAAATTTCAAAAAGAAAATTTATTCTACATATGGTATACATATATTTACTTACTGTATTTTCCGATAGAACATGGTTAACATTCTCGTAAAACCATGACCTATTACGCCGACTTCTGAGCCCAGTTAAAGAATTTTGGCGGGGAAATATTTCTCTACCCTTTTGTTGTATCAAGTCATTCATCCAAATATGATCTTCTCTAATAATTACCAAGGCCTTTTCTATGAGTACTTGAATACCGTACTCAGGGTTCTGGTGACAACTTTCTAGCATTTTTATCACATAGTTCTTATTTTTACTGTTTAAGAAACATGCAATGTCAAGGAAAACTTCTTTAACCGGATCTTCTAGTGCATCGTAACTTATTTGGACAATGTCTTGAATATCTAAGTCAAGAACTCTTTTGTAATCATCCAATGCAGCTTTCCATTGATCTATGCTTCTTCCCCATAGGAGTGAACCTATAATTGTGAGAGCTAATGGAAGCCCTTTAGCATAGTGCACTATTGCAGTAGCGACTTTCGCATAATCATCAGGAAGTTTATTTCTTCGGAAGGCATTCCAACTGAAGAGCTCAAAAGCTTCATCAAAATATAATTCCTTCACCTTGTATATTAGGTCAACTTGATGAGCGGTTAACAAATGTTCGTCTCTTGTTGTTATGATGATTCTACTGCCCAAACCAAACCAATCAGACCCTCCAACCAATTTGTTTAATTGGTCCAATTGATTCACGTTATCAAGAATTAAGAGGACTTTCTTGTGGCTTAATCTTTTCTTTATCACATTGATTCCTTTATCAACATGGGTAAAGTCCAATTGTTTCTCTCCTAGAATCTCAGAAAGAGCAATCTTTTGTAGTTCGACTAGGCCTCCAGGTGCCACTGAATTTTCTCCTACACTTGCCAAAAAACAGCTACCTTCGAAATCATGGGCAATCGAATTATAAACAGCTTTAGCAATTGTTGTCTTACCTATTCCATTTGGCCCCCATATTCCTACCATGCGAACATCATCATTTACCCCAATTCCTAAACGCTCACTTATATCTTGTACTCGAGACTCTATTCCAACTGGATACTTTGCCACATTGAAATAGGTGCGGTTTAATACTTGGGCTGAAATTTCTTCAACAATGTTGTGAACAAATTTAGAATAGTGCCTGCCAGTTAAAAGTATATGAAACATTTAATGAAATGGAATTTTGCTAGCTAGCTATATATTTCGATCTTATAATTCTGTCTAAGAAGGCAAAAAGAATATAAACTCACAATAATTTCTCAAGAGGAAGATGCTATATATGTTTAACCAAACAAGATACTTTAGTTTTATTTTATTCATATTACTTTCCTTAAGAAAAGTAATAATCCTAGCACACCACCATAATAAGTTCACAAATTTGAGATCAATGTGGCACTATTTCGTTTATTATATATGAACTCATTACACGTTCCATTTGTTTATAATAAGTATGATATTGTCATGTCAAATGTTCCATTATTTGCCGACCAAATTTAATATATATTTTTTTTTGTGATGCTAGTATGTGTGTTGGTGCCCAGGTATGCATGTAGGCTAGATTAGGAGAAAAACTTAGTTGCAACGAGGATAACACTATTTTTCTATCTCCGACCAATAATGCTATGTCAAGTGAAAATGTTATCACATGTGTCATAATGTTATTGGTCGGAGATAACAAAATACTATCTTCGTTTCATGGAAGTATTTCTCCTTAGACTAGATGATTGTAAACCTATGCTAGGGGACACCACCACCGAAGAAAACTTGTCTAACTACTGAAATTCCAATTTTATAATCTCATATTCTCGTCCCTCCTTCCCATTTCGATTCTTTTTACTTCTGATTCATTTTTACCTTGATTTCTTGTTATGTAATAATATGTGAGCAAATTTGTTAAGCACTAAAATGCATGAATTTTTTTTAACAAAATAAAAAAATTAGAAACAAATAAATAAATCGAAACGCTAGTAAGTGGTTCTTAGAAATATACCCGTCCAAGAAATACCACCCTGGCAAATTTGTTGCTTCTCTAAGAGCTGCCTTCCATCTCAGCACCTTCTCAATGTTATCTCTGAATTCGTTTTCATGGTTAGCAAATGCCTCACCAAAACTGCCTTGTTGGTCGCGCACATCTATGAGATCCACCTTGTAATAAACTGGCCAAACAATTTGCTGCTTTGCTGCTCTACATTGAAGGATCTCAACCAGTTCATCCAAGCACCAGACTGAAGATGCAAAATTCTCGGAGAATACGATGATAGAAATCCTTGACTCTCCAATCGCTTTAAAAAGCATTGGCATTAATAGTAGTTCTTCTTCTCTTCTGATCTCATCAGCAAGGAAGGTTTTAATTCCCTTTTGAAGCAAATTTCTGCGCAAATGGTCTGTAAAATTGTTGTGGGTATCCGCGCCTCTATAACAGAGACAGACATCATATGCAATGTTTTCAAAGGCGAGGCGTATAGATGAGGCGTTTTTAGTAGCGCTATGCAAGACGTAAGCCTTGAAGCGTTGAGGCGTAAGCCTTTTGAACATTAATTTATTTTAATAAGAAAAATTTATGAATAATACAATACGATTAAATTGTACAACTAATTCTTATTCAACCATAACAATCTTTTAAATATAATCAAATATAAGTACTAATTGTCATTCAAAGCATAATAATCAATCCCAAAACATAAAATATTTATTCAATATCAAAACAAAAACATAATTCACTCATCCCACTCCTCAACACTAATATCATTCAACTAGCATCACTGTCATATTGATCAACTGTATCAATATGAAAATGATATTTCCCACTATCAAATATGAATAAGATAACTAGTATAAAAAAAATTGAAAAAAAATTATACAGAACTTCAAATTATAGTTTATTACAGTCAAATTATACAAAAATGATGCATGTACGTAAATAAAAAATAAAAAAAAACTTACTTGCAGTCGAAAGATGAAGAAAATTCTTGAAATTGATGGAGTTATCTGGTAAGGGTCTAAATTAGGGTTTTACATGTACTATACAATATATATATATATACAACGCCTCGCTTCGCCTAGCCACGCCTTGCAGCGCCTTCTCACGCCTTCCCAGCGCTAAACGTGCAACTAGCGAAATAGCCGACCGCCTCGGGCGTTTTCCTCCCGCCTCGCTCCGAAGCGCGCTCCGACGCGCGCGAAGGCATGCCTTTGAAAACACTGATCATATGTCCATGAATGGTTGAAAGAGGAAGAGGATGAAGAGGCTCCTAATTGAGTGGTCACTGAATCCATTTTGTTTGATACTGATATGTCAAAGACGACTTGAAATAATTTATATAGGGTTTAGGGTGTATGCGACTTGCATTATATTATTTATTTGCAAAGCTGGTTCCTGCTAACTTCAACGTGCTGTGAAAGTCAACGTGAATGAGATCGCTTGTTATTTCCTGCGGATTTCGGTGCAACTTCGAAGGTGTTTGCTAATCCAGTCGTGTATATAATTGATGATGAAGATGACTAACCAACCGAAACAAGATTTGACCTATCATCTGTCAATTAAAAGTGCCTCATATTTCTTAACTCATAATACCATGAAGAAAATTGAGGTCCCACCCAAAATCAACTAGCAATGGAGGAAGTAGCCCAACATCTTATAAGTCCTTATTAAATTTCTCAACTTTCTAATATTGGACAATTTTTCACATTCTCACAAAAGAAGCCACACAACCAAATGCTCAAGCCATTAAGTTTAACTTTTAGCTTCATTGTGTGGGTTCGGTTCCAGTGGTGGATCTAGCCATGTATTGGGTAGGCACCGAAAAATTTCAGAAAATTAAAATATGTATGTAGCTCCCTAAACCCAAGACCCTGGAGACATGTGCATGAGAGAGAGAGAGAGAGAGAGAGAGAGTGAAGCCGACATGCAACCACTAAGGCTCAGGCTTTATCACTCAGTTTTCCAGGCTAATATTCTTTTCTTCACAGTTCTAGTATGATATTGGATTGTTGTCAAAACATCTACGGAAGAAAAAAAATTTCACTCAAACGGTCGAGTTTAGTATGTAAATTTTACCTACTCAACTTTCGAATCCTTTAGTATGTAAATTTTTCCTACCCGACTTTTGAATCCTAGAACCACCACTATTCGATTCAGTCCTAACTCAATTGAATAATATTTTAAGCTTTTTATTAAAAATAAAAAAATAGAAAAAGAAAGTGCAGGTTAGGTTCCTGATGAGACTTTGTCTAATTTGTTTCTTTAAATTGATATGGAAAAAGGTCTCCTATTCTTAGTTGACCCTTAGTTTATACTCTGTTTGTAGTTTGTCCCATTTATTGCGCATGTGAAGTTGTGTGGTTGAAGCAGCCTGACCATGAAACTTAAAGCAGACCGTGAAACTAACTTAAAGCAGTCTTACCATGAAACTTAAAGCAGTCTGACCATGAAACTAACTTAAAGCAGTCTGACCATAAAACATTGTTTTGAATACAAGTGATAGTCAGGGATTTCTCACACACACTACTACAGTGCCATAGGAGTTTGAACATGAGACCACTAGTCATTCAATTGCTTTTTCACCTCAGCCACACTTCCATAAACACAAATATGCCCCCCCAGCACAAGCTCCTAGGAACGTTCACTAGCTTTCCTGTAATTGAACGTGTATTAAAGATCAATACACAACAAAGACTCAGTCATTCCTCCAAAACCTCTTGTGTTTTAATTCCTCTTCACGCCTATTTTCCTATACAAGTTACGCAGTACAAATGTTGTGACGCCTTGGTTGGTGGTGTGCCCTATTTTTATTTTTGTTGCAGGCTTTCAATAATAGAATATGTTGGGCCGTCAAATTTAGAAAGAAGAATTTGGACCACGTCAGGAGTCTTTCGGTAAAAGAGGCCTTTCTTCGTATGGAGGCCCAAATCAGGATCCTTTTTTGGCTCGTGCTTCGTCTGGAGTTGGTCCGTTATTGGGGACATGAACTATGGAGGTCAGCTCAATCCTGTTTTCTGTCTTGCACCTTTTATTATTGGCAATTAGTTTGCGCGCACCCAAACACCCAAGAAAGATGACGGGCAGAATGTTTACTTTGAAAGGATTCTCCTTGCCTTTAAGCATGCACACAAACCGAGCTATGGTGGATAGCCACTGAGAGATTCCACAAATTAATCCAAAAATGTAAGGAAACATTTCTAAACGCGGGCTTGAGCTTTCTCCATTTTTACACTTGAGAATGAGTTCGCAGATGCAAAAGAACAGAGCCACAGAAGCCAACCACATACCAGTGAGTGCAAACTGGGGATTTCCTGGGGAGAAAAACTGATCACAAATAGCTGCAAGGATCTCCAGGAAGAAGCTAATGATTAAAAATATCCACTCTACTGTATCGGCCTGCAAAAAAGATAATTAGCCACACAATCAACAAAATCTTCTCTGCTGAAGGAAAAATAAGACAGTTGAAGATTTTTTTACCTCTAATAAGAAGCTTTTAATAGTAGTACTCCAACTTGTATTTTCTACCACGCCTTCATTTGCTTTCGGTTCGGGTTCCTAGTATGAAAAGGCAATTGCATTAACAAATTATATATTAAAAAAGGCTTTGTTTGTAAATTTGAATACATATGTGTATTAACAGATTATATATAATACTTACTACAATAACATTGGTAATTTGGTTACGTAGCTTTTCCAATTTTTTATTTTCGGAGCTGGTTTCATCTCGTCCAGGATACCGTTCAGTGCCTTCAGTTGCATTTACTTCCTAGAGTGACCGAAAAAAGAGAGTACAAAAAGCAATTGCATGCATAAATAAATAAATAAGTAAATAAAAGGAATTTTCTTGACAAATTGAATAAGATAATACATATGTGTACATATATTATACTCACTGTGACAGCCTCAGTGTTAGGAATTCTTCCTTGAAGTGTTTGTAATGCTTGAGAACTGGAGAATGTCTGATCTCCTTCAACCAACTTTTCAGTGTTTTCAACTTTGTTTAGTGCCTATTTTTTGAAAAATAATAATTATATCAACAAAGTAATATAAAAAAAAAAGTAAAATGGTTTCTCTACTCCTCAAGGACAAACTAACAAGACCAACAGGAGTTGGTCCAAGTGGAAGGGGCTTGGATCCTTTAAACAAGAGGTCCTGGGTTCGATCCCAGGCACTTGCGAATAGAGCAG